GGAATTTTAACCCAGAATTCCACAAATAATCCTGCGGGGTGAGTCTTTCTTCCCAGGCTCCAACCAGTTAGAGACAACTTAATCTTTATGCGTCTATCCCAGAATCAAGCCTAGGGCCTGGCATGGAATCGGTGCTTTTTAACGTATTTAATAATAAAAACAATAAACATGTGAATGTTCTCAGTGATACATTGGAAGACGGACACAAGGTGTAATTCATTCAATCTAGCTAATTACCTTAGGCATGTCATTTTCCTCCTAAGACAGGTCTTGTGCTTTAACACGAAAGCTAGATTGGTACAATTGACAGCAGCTATCTAGAACACTGTGGTGCAAAGAATTCATAGACTTTTCTGGGATAGACAGCAAGAAAGACAGGTCAGTTTTCAAAGTAGGCCTGGAGTGTGAAGGCAACGAGAGGCGGCAGATGGTACGGTGGTTGTGAGGATGGGCTCTGAGCCGAACTACATGGTTTTTGGAGCCCGGGCAGGAGAGGAACCTGCAACTGAGGTACCCGCTCTTGACCAGAACTGAACGAAACCCAGGACCTTTAGGTCTGCAGGACGAGGCCCTATCCACTGAGCCAAACCAGCTAGGGCAGCTTATACATACTTTTGAACTGTGTGACTTCGGGTAAGTTACTTAACCTCTCTTGTCTCCTGCAAAATGGGGATGATAATGTTATGCATCTCATAATATTATGCGGTAACCCATACACAGACTTGGTGCTGGCCCATGACCAATGCATGTTATGTGACAGTGCACATGATCACAGAACTCAGGGAAGATGGGAGCTGACAGAATCACTTCTTGGACTTTTATTATGAATCATAAAGTGACAAGTCTGAAAAAAAAATATGAAAGATAACAACAGGTGGCAGAAGATTCTAGTATAGAAGATACTTTGTGGAGCGGCATTTTAAAATCGAGTGAAAGATGCAGCCCTTGACACAAAAACGTTATTTTGTCATTGTGCAGGTTCATTCTTACTTGTCTCCAGCTTGGAAACCACTATCCTGTGCCTAGGAATCATACAGGTGTTTCTAATAGTTTTTTTTATTGATACCTGATTTTATCTGGCTCCGTCTAGGGGAGGACAATGGAGATATCCTGAAGAGGGTGGGGATCCAGGTTAAGTTCTGATTAACTTTCATCTCATACAATCATTTCTCATATTGATGAAGTCCACCTCTTGTACCTTTGTCAAAACCAAACCCATTGTTTAGAACATGAAATACCTGGAGATACTGTCATGTGAATCTAAGCTATCCATCCTGTGGGCTGTCTGTGCACCTGAAGCGGCACCAGGACGATCGTCAATGGTGTCCAGTCCAGACTCTCTGGAAAGGTTCATGATGTGGTTCTGATAGTACATGTGGATGCTCTCCCGAGTGGGAACGTTGCCCTGCAGCGAAGGAGACATTGCCACAGTTCTTACTTGCCTCTGCAGCCACCGGGCATTTATCAACACTGACAATTCTCAGCTATACTGCACACCCGGGGTAGATGAACACAAAGCTAGTGAAGTTGGGGACTGATGTCAACTCATTAATGGTACCCAATATTATTGGCTAATGCCAAACAAGAAATCCCTCTTGTTTATGGATGAACATGGTCAAAAGGTATAAACTTCCAGTTGAAAAATAAGTAAGTCATGGGGGTGTACTGTACAGCAGGGTCTCTATAGTGGATAATACTGTATTGTGTATGGGAGTCCCTCCTTATGCACAAGGGATGCATTTCAAGACCCCCAGTGGGTCCTGAAACCATGGATAGAACTGAGCCCTACCTATACTATGTTTTTCCCTGTACATACACACCTGTGGTAAAGTTTAATTTATAAATTAGGCACACCAAAGAACTACTTCGAGTTCTGGATATTGATTTTCACAATCTATATAATGTGTAAAGAAGCAAAGAGAATAATTCCAAGAGTGTTACCTTTTTAATTTCTCTGGTCAGCATGCATCTTTCAATTCTCAAAACTGTAGATATATCAATATGCTCCCTTGAAATGGAGTTAAGCCAAGTTGTGAAACTATCCACGGTTGCCAAAAAGAGCACCCAGGTAAATTTCAGAATATTAAATATCCTCTTGATGATATTATCTAGGAGGAAGAAAAAGAAACACAATGTCAAAGGAACAAATGCCATCACCCATTTTGCCATAGGTACACAGTGGTGTTTTACCAAATGCAGACCTGTCTGAGCCTCCCTGCATCATGTGGAGTGGGCACTGACTGGGCATGACGGGGGTGTGGGGACCACTGCAGCATAGGAAACCACCATCAGGCCTTTCTACACGTGCAAGCCAAGCGAGGACGGAATTGTTAACCTTTGGTCAAAACAGCTGCCAGAACAGATTCCTATACTTTTGGTTAAAAGTAGAGATTGCCTTCAAAGATAGTTATGTTACTGACACAGGGATACAAACAGAATGTATTTATCCAGGTAACTGGGTCCTGTAATTCTTTTTCTATAAGTTTCTTCTTTTCTTAAGTAATAATAGTTGTTGGAAACAATTCTGTTGATTCAGTAAGAATTTGACACTTTCTACTGCAGTGGCATTCAGTTACATCATTTAAAATGATTCTGTAGAGCTCAGTACGCGTACTGAGAGTATATATGTTCTCAATTATACTGAGCTGTGCTGACTACAAAATATTGCACATGGGATCAACCCTCCCGAAACCAACAGAAGCTATGAAATTCCTGATGGAATTGGGTTGTCTTCCTTATCTGTGCTGTGACTGGGGGCGCCCGGGAGAGCTGCCCGGGGGGATAAGCTCGGTTCCAGATTGCCACTGTGTCCCAAATGTGTCTCCATGCAGCACGTGCCTTGCCAGCCCTCAGAGAAGCCAACATGCACTTCTGATCATGATCAGGTTTGAGGAGATTCCGTAGCTGTGACCTAACTTTATTTTAGGTCTGAATCAAAATAAAAGAGGAACGTTCCCATATTAACCATCTTGCTAGTTTGTTCCTGTAAGCCAATACGTTCTCAACTAGTATACAAGGAATCCTTGAAGACATGCTACCAAATTTTGATCAATGGGGATGTAATGTACGCCAGGGTCTCTATAGTTAATAATAGAGACCATAGGTCTTAGCAACTTTAGTACATTATGTGTACTAAATATACCTTTTAGTTTTAACATCAAGACCACCATAAGCAAAACTGTGAAATAATTATATTTATCTTTACCACCTCTAGGGTGTACCTTTCTTTTGACTTGGCATTTAAAAATTTTAGTTTTTTTTTTTTTTTACGATTTCAAAACTTTGATTACAATAAAGCAAATACTTAGTGAACACAACAATGAGTTAAGAATTGTCTTACTTTTTATTGAAAACAAACACCACCAATAAAAATCCAACTTGTATCTCACTCTTCCCACACCAAATAAAGAAAAAAAGAAAGAAAGATTTGAGTGTCATAGTAAAACCTTAACGAATTTACAATTAATGATTATAGCTTAGCCTTTATGATCTTGTGCAGGGGCCAACCAACATTTTTTCTGAACAGGGCCCAGGAGTAAATACTTTTGGCTTTCCAGGCCATACTGTCTGTATTGCAATGAATCACTCTGCTGCTGTCTTAGTTAAGCAGCTATAGACAACGAGTGAATTGTCTATGAATGGGAATGACTGGGTTTCCAATGAAACTTTATTTACAGATACTGAAATTTTAGTTTCATAATTTTCATATGTCATGAAATACTCTTTTTTCTAATATTTTTTTTCAACCATCAAAAATATAAAAATCATCCTTAGCTAACAAGCCTTATAAACACAGGTGGCAGGTATCCTGACCTGGAATCTAGTATAATCTGATATGACCACTCTGTGACTTGAATCCTCTCTCTCTACTTTAATTCTCACACCACAGTATGAATCAAAGTTTAACTTTGTAATGGTGAATATATATATTTGTGAACTGAGTGGCCTAGGAGGAAGGCAGATTTTCTCCCAGGTAAACATTTGCTCTTTTCAAAAGGAAAAACATCACAAGCAGCTTAGCTTTACATGGGAGATGGGCAAGAGGGACCAAGAAGAGCTAAACAGTTCTACCTGCTGGAATAACAAGAACCTTGGAGTGGCCAGCTGGTAGCTAAGAAGAAAAGTGGGAAAGGAGATGGGGGATGATTAAATGAGAAGGGCCTGGAGGGAAGGGGCCCGAGCCACAGGTGGCTGTGAAGCCAGGCCCCAGAGACACCAGCTGGTGAGAGATCTGCCCAGATGGGAACAGTGATCCCTGACTTTCCTTTCGAAGTAATGTCCTGCTATGCAAGCTGTCACTGCCTCCCACTGTTCCCCAAACCTCGGCAAAACTGTGTCACACCTAACAGCTTTACATGCGGTACACTTCAGGAAGGAGGGACATGAGAGAGTAGTTTCAATTCAACAAAGAAGCCCAGGGAGGGAGCAGCTGCTTGGTGAGGCTGAATGGAGTTGAGCTGGTACAGATTCCACAGGAGAGCCATTCTGAGCCAGAGAGGCCTGGGAACCCTGGGGGCATCTACACTTCTCTTTCCACCCCACACTCTTGTTTCTGTTTTGATCTTCAGCAAGGCATGCAACGCCCGCAGTAGTTTGGATAAAACCTCTAGCCATTTGACCCCTGGATGCTGGAAGACTTGAAGTTAGTTACAACTATTAAGAAATGTTAGCAACATCTTATAGTTTTGACAACTTATTTTTTTCTCATAGTCACAGTTATTTCCCTAAAGATGGTAAAGATAAATATAATTATTTCACAGTTTTGCTTATGGTGGGCTTGATGTTAAAAGTAAAATAGCTGTGTTGAAGACATGTATAACATGCACTTTATAAACTTGGGTGATCACTAACTAACGTGAAATTCGGATTTTTATTTTTACTTATTTTTTAATGATAGAGGCAATAGGACATAGTCATTAAGAGCACAAACTCTGGGTTCAGACTCCTTGGGTTCAAATCTTAACTCTACCTCTCAGTGGCTATGTAGACTTTGAAAAGTTAATCTTTCTCTGCCTCAGTTTCTTAACTGTTAAATGGGGAAGAGGATCTCTGCCGGGGTTAAACAAGTTAATTTGTCTAAAGCTCTCAGAAAAGTGCCTGACAAAGTTGTGAAATCTAAGGGTTTAGCTATTATTATTGTACTAGAGGCCCCATGCATGAAAATTCGTGTATTGGAGGGGGTCCCTCAGCCTGGTCTGCCCCATCTCACAGTCTAGGAGCCTTCAGGGGATGTCCTAATAAGCTGCAGTCTGGCCTCCCTCTGTGGGAGGTAATCTGACTGATCAGGGGAAGGCACCACTCCCATCACCCCTGCTGCTGCCACTGCTGGCTGCAGCGGCTGCAAGGCCTGAGCCCCAGGGCTCATAGCTGCCTGAGCCCACAGCTGCGGTGAGCTCACAGCTGCTGTGGCTTTGTGCAGATGGACATCCGGAAGATGTCCACCCTAATTAGCATATTACCCTTTTATTAGTATAGATAAGGCTTTGTAGCAATAATAGATCTGAGTTCACA